TTACACAGCGACAGACCTGCCCCTACCAGTACCGTACCCCAGTGTTATACAGCGACAGACCTCTCTGTCCTGGTTCTGTGTTGTGCAGTGCTGACCTTGTGTGTTAGTGTTGTATTGCTGTGCTGATACCAGTGTGTAATAATTTGTTAAGGTTCAGGATCACTCTTGTCACTGTCATGCCCACAGTTGTGTGGTAATTTTGTTCCACTATGTTATGAAAGACAATATGAGCAATTTGCGGAAAAGTTCACTTGGTTTTATATATTAATGTCTTTTTAATTGTCCCTTGCATCAAGGTTTCTTTTAACAACTTATCTTCTGTACAGCTGATGGAGGTGTTTAATCTCCAGGGGTTTTTCTGGATTGCAATCAGTTAGTGTGTTAAATGCACTGTTTGATATAAACAGGCTCATTCAAATGCGAGGGATTCTCCTGAAGGAGTTAGTAAGGCATGCAGGTCAGAACAAAAACACATTACACGAACAACATAAAAGGGATGAGTAATGCACTGAACTGAAAAATAATAGAGAGGTGGGGAAAGTGATGGCTTGGACAGTGTTTGTCTCGCTGATGGGATGGTATCTGAGCTCCATTTCAGCTCCCTAGGAGTCCTGTGACCGGATACTGAGTTCAGTTCAGGGATCGCGGCCCCCACTTTCAGGAACAATGAGCCTCCTGTGAGTCGGTCCTGGTATCCGCTGAGTTTCCGGAATGTTCTGGTGTGACAGCCTTCGAGAGGCTCTGTCTGCACTTGGGTCTGATTTTGTTTCGCTCTCAGTCACTGTGTCACTGACATCACTCCCTGGAACAAGGTGCAATGGAGCTGGAATGAAGAGGCAAATGATCTTTAGGACAATACATGGCTGCAGGTCATCGACAAAGGAGAACAATAAAGACACATCAGTCAACAACGCTAGAAAACTACACAAACCTGGTCCAGCCTTTCACTCTGAGCTTGGCCAGCCCCTGTCACTGTGGAGATAACCCTCCCACCATTGTCACCCAGACCCTCCCTGGGTGCAGGGCTCTGTAAGGGGCCAGCCTGCTAACCACATGGAGACAAACAGTGAACCACAGAGTGATACAGTACAGGAGAGGTCCTTCAGCCCATCGAGTATTTACCATCAGAACTACACAGTGGAAAACCTTTCCTCAAAATCCCCTCTAAACCTCCTGCCTTTCACTTTAAAATTATGCCCCTTGTTAATGATCCTTCAGCTCAGGGGAACAGCTGCTTCCTATTCCCCCTGTGCTCGGGGAAAGCATGCCCCCCGACTCCAGTCCAACCAACACCCTCCATCCATCCTCAGAGGGGGCCCCTTGGGGAGAACCACTCCACACCATTTCTCCATCCCACCCCCGGGAAGTGGGCTACAAGTTTCTATACCTGAGATAACAAGGTGTAGAGCTGGATGAACACAGCAGGCCAAGCAGCATCAGAGGAGCAAGAAAGCTGGCGTTTCGGGCCTAGACCCTTCTTCAGAAGTTCCTACTATCTCTTTCCTATACCTACTGGTTATATGGGGTAGGAGGGGGATAGGGTGTAAGGGAGAGAGCGAGGGGGAGAGAGGGGGAAGAGTGTGAGTGAGCAGGAGAGAGACAGTGAAGGGGGAGTGAGGCAGAGACAGTGGGGGAGAGTGTGAGTGAAGGGGAGAGTCAGTGAGGGGAGAGTGTGAGTGAGGGACAGTGAGTGACTGAGGGGGAGAGAGGGAAGCGGAGTGAGTGAGGTGGAGAGGGGGTGGAGAGTGAGTGAGGGAGAGAGAGAGGAATAGTGTTTGAGTGAGATAGACAGTGAGTGAGTGAGGGGGAAGGAGGGGAAGAGTGTGTGAGTGGGGGGGGACAGAGTGAGTGAGTGAGTGAAAAGTCAAAGCGTGAGTGAGAAGACAGAGAGCAAGGGAGGGTGAGAGAGTGTATGAGGGGTAATGGAGACATTGAGTGAGATTACAATGGGATTCAGGGAGTACTGAAGGGCAGTTTTCTGTCACTCACCTCCTGGGAAGTGGCTGCAATAAGGGAATCCAGGAGGAATCTCGATGCGAGCACCAGTCAGGTTGTGTCCACAGAGAGATGTCAGGCAGAGCAGGGCTGGCTCAGCAACTACAGGCTGGCTTCTCTAGAAGGCTGTTTGGAGCTGTCCTGGTTCACATGAGGAGTCTGAATTCACTCAGATCTCAATGGTCATTAAAACAGTCAGTGCACTGGAGACACATGGTGTAAGGGAAGAGTTGGCTGGAGTTTTCCTGAAGCAGACTGGAACCCCCGAGTCTACGGAGGGTTCAATAAATTCGAAAGACGGCACCTTGTTAATATTTGGTTTCTTTTCAAACAGCATCAAGTGTTTATTATAGTTCAATGGAAGAGAAGCTCTTAATACTTGCAGCATATTGATTTTAAAATAGAAAGCGAGATATCCGGTCACACTGTGGGTCAGTGCATTCATCAAGAAAGTTATGAGGTTTGGATATTGAACTCCTCCCCACTGACAGAGTAAGATCAGCATGTGGCAGCAGTGGTTTCAGGTTAGTCTTCCTGCTTCACAAATAGCAACACAATCAGTCCAATTGGGAAACGGAGATAAATCAGATCTAGATAAATTGTCTCTTCTTGTTCCAAACATATACATTCCATTGGATTAATTTTAAATCACAAGACTATTTAAAACTCAGAGGGACTGAGATGATGGAAAATTAAAATAAATTTCTCTAAAACATTTTTATCAGAATAATGCTGTCCCTCGCTGTCCTTTGTAGAGACGCTTGCTTGGTCATTTGCTAGTTGTGGAGCAGGATGATGGGGAAGGGGGCCTGGGGACAGTGGTCTTGCTACATCATTGACACTTGTAGAAGCTGGGACTGGGTAAACAGAGAGTTCTTGTCTGGGTTATGGAGCGGCCGAGAGCTCAGGGACATGGTCACCATCTCCCGCCCTCCGGGAACTGTGGTGGCCAATCTGCGGCCATAACTGGACGATGTGTACGAGGAGGATGAGAAGGACATGGAGTAACTGGATCCTGAAGCATCAAAGCTCCCCCGCCTAGAGCCTGTTCTAGATCCAGTTCTTGAACCTGATCGAGAACCTGCGGATGAACCAGCTCCGCTGACGTTGTAGGGACTGTAGAAGCCTTTGGTCGATTGTGATGATGCTTCAAGCAAACGCAGGCCTGTCCCTTCTTCAATCATCGATCGGTCCATTGCATCCTTGTAGGAAATCTTCAGTTTGGTTTTGGGACAGGTTATATACTTTGTATGAGCTCCAACATCCCTCAGTTTTTGGGCAGTGCGGGCATCAATGGTGCCTTTTTGTAAAGCTTCATCCAGAGACACTCGCCCCGGCACATCAGGCTCAATCAGTCCACCAGTCAGATATTGTACCTCCAGGAATCGCTGGCCTGCTTCATAATATAACCAGCCTTTCTTCAAAGCCTGAGCAGCGGACATTTTTGTCTTGGTTCTTGGATCTTCAAATCCATTGAATGCTTTCTGAGCCAGGTTGATCCTGTCGACCATGATCTTGTCCACAAGGGAGTGAGCAACAGCATCTGTGACTGAATATTTCTCTCCTGTAGCAGGATCAATGATTCCACCAGTACAGGCCTGAGCTTCCAATAACCTCTGGCCACTGATGTTGTCCACCAAGTTACGATGCATAGCTTCAGTGATGGAGACTTTCTCGAGTGTATCTGTGTCCAAGATGCCAGCAACTGGACACGTTTCCTCAACTGGATCATTCCATGTGACCATGTGACTTCTCATGGGACTTGCTTGTTGGCTTGTGTATGAAGATGAGGAGCCAACTGAGGAAGTCCTTGAGCGGAACCCACTCACGTTTCCTGACAACATATCAGCAAATTCCGTGATGGATAAAGCTCCAGAGCGATACAGGTCTAAAGAACCCTGGTCAATCAGCCCTCTGGACAGTGCATCATCGATATCGTACTGTCGTCCTGATCGTCTGTCAGTGATTACTGACTTCACCACACCATCTGACGAAGAGATTGTCACTTCCTCCCATTCACATTCCTGCTCAGATAGCTCTGTGTAAGTCTGATGATCAATCAGTCCTTTACGATAAGCTTCGTAAACAGACATCTCTTTGCCAGTTTCAGGATCAACTATGACCACTCGCCGTTTGCGAACAGATGATTTGGACGAAGTTTTCCTCTCTCTCTTCTTGTCTTTCAGGATGAGTAAACAGAGCCCAGTATCAGAATCGACTACACAACGCTCCTTCAGCTGCAGGTAGGTGAGGTTTTCCTCAGTATTTGGATCAAAAAAGCCCTTTGTATCATCACCTGGGTCTGACAAGATCTTATTCATCTCCTCATCAAACAGGCCTCGTTTGTAGGCCACCTCGACAGGCAGGCGGTGACTGTACTCTGGGTCAATGATCCCACCTGTAGCGATCTGTGATTCCAATAGACGAATCCCGTGATCTTTTAGAATCAGACTTTTCTGCATGGCTTGAAACAGAGACAGCAGTTCACCTGAATAAGGATCTCTATAACCAGTAACTGCCCTCTCAGCTGACAGAAGCTTATCCTTAAACTCTGGACCCACCACTCCCATTTTCACAGCATCACTAACCGTTAATTTCAGATTTTTAATGGGGTCAATCATGTAACCTGTTGCTGCTTGAGCCTCCAACAACTCAAAGGCTGTCCCAGGTCGAATCATACCCTTCTTCATGGCTTGGTAAATGGTTAATCTCTCTTTAGTAGCTTCAACAAACACTCCTGAAATACAACTGGTGCCTTCCAAATATTTCTTGATGCTGTTGCTGACTTCCTCCACAGTGATTTCACCTTGCAGTAGCTGTGCAGCATCAGAACTTGTGATGATATCTGATGCAACAAGTTCCTCCATTGTGATCTGTTTCCTGAGACCTTTAAATACCAATTTCTTCCTGTCCGTCAGGGTCAATAGGCGATGGCCTGTGTTTTCATCCACCTTGCACCGCTTCATCAGCTGACTGTAACTCATTGGTTCTTCAGTGCTGGGGTCACGGAACCCTTGTGGCCCCTCAGTAGGATCTGTCAGCAGGCTGTATGTCTCACGGTCAAGGTAACCACGCTGATAGGCTGTCTCCAGAGGAAGGTGGTAACTGTATTCTGGGTCAATAATGCCACCTGTGACCAACTGGGCATCCAGTAGCCTCAGGACATACTCTTTTGCAATGAGGCCTTTCTTCATGGCTTGGAAAAGTGAGATGACCTTCCCAGTGTAAGGGTCCCGGTATCCAGTGACAGCTCGTTCAGCTGATAGCAGTCTGTCGTGGAGCTCAGGACCCACCAGACCCTCTCTCACAGCCTCATCTACAGACAGCCTCTCATTCTTTACTGGATCCAGCATGAACCCAGTGGCAGCCTGGGCTTCCAAAAGAGCATCAGTTATCTCAGGTTTCACCAAACCCTTCTTCATCGCTTCATATAACGTTAACACTTCCTTCCCAGCAAATTTGTAAATCCCACTGATAGCTCCGGTTCCAAACAGGTACTTCCTCACTAACTCCATCTCACAGACTTGCTGCACGGTTAATCGCTTGTCCTTCAGCATATTCAATGTTTCCAGGTCAATGATTTTGGAGGAATAAAGCTGATCAGCTGTGATCTTGCTCCTGAAAGTATTAAATGTAATCATTTCATACCCTCTGCGGATTTCTACTTGCTGAATAATCTCAATAATTACCACAACCAATCGCTCGCGTGTGATTTTTCCTGAACGATAGTCCCTTGTTAACTTGAGCCTCTCTTTCTCGGTAATTAACTCAGAGTTCAGGATCTCCCAAATGGACATGGATTTCCCACCGAAGGTGCTCTCAGGAAACTGCACTGTTGTGTTCTCAAACACCTCCCTTGTTTCAACTTCACTGTGCACCAGATTTTCAACCACTTTGGGTATCTCGCTGTCCTTCACTGGGATAAGGTGGAGTCCTGTCTCCGGATCTATTAAACACCTCTCCTTTAGCTGCTGATAGGTGAGGTCTTCATCAGTGTTGGGGTCAAGAAACCCTTTGCTATCATCCCCAACATCAGACAGAATCTTGTTCATCTCCGCATCAAACATTCCCCGTTGATAGGCCACATCGACAGGCAGTCGGTGACTGTGCACGGGGTCAATGATACCCCCTGTGGCAATCTGTGCCTCAAGGAGACGGATCCCATAACCCTTAGGGACAAGACCCTTCCTGATGGCTTCAAATAAGGAGATCTTGTGGCCAGTGTAGGGGTCGGTGTATCCAGTCACAGCTTTCTCTGCAGATAGGAGTTTCTCGTGGAGCTCTGGGCCGACCAGACCTTCTTTAACTGCCTCATCAACAGTGAGGGTTCGATTCCTCACAGGGTCAACAATAAACCCTGATCCTGCCTGAGCCTCCAGTAAGGCCTCTGCTGTGCTCGGACTCAACAAATTCTTCTTCATTGCTTCGTAAAAGCTCATCTTCGCCTTTGTAGGTTCAATAAACACTCCTGCGATACTGTCTGACCCCTGTAGGAACATCTTCACTGAATCCAACTTGCCAACATCTTCTGGTGTTGCTTCTCCC